CATGAATATCATTATTAATTATTATTATTATTATTTTATTATTTTATTTTAATATTAATTTATAATTCAAGTATACTAGAGTAGTGTGTATAATGAATTTAAGGACTTGATATATATATTACATAGAAGACTCTCTTGTACATAGTTAAAATGATGAAGAAGAAAAAAAAGGTAAAGGAAAATAAACCTCTACAGTAAGAATAAGAAGAATAAAAAAAAACACACACACATACACACACACACATACACACATATACATCATCGAAGGCATTAGGGATTTGCGAATACACGTACACACGTACATTTGTGAATGAATTAGTTGAATCGATAACGTTCGTAATAATGATTAATTAATAATCTATCAACGTCACTCAAATCCAACCCCCTCACCTAAAATCCTCCTCCCCCTCCGCCCATCCGTCTTCTGCATTTAATTCCGATTCGAAATCTCGCATCTCGCGAATAAGAATTAATAATAAATAAATAAGAATAAGAAAAATAATAAGATAGAAGAATAAGAAGAAGAAGAAAAAGAAGAGGATGAAGAAGTAGATGATTAAAAAGGGAAAAAAAAAAACACTGGAGAGGGGAAAGTACGAGGATAGGTGGGGGCCAAGAATAATGAAAGCGGCCTGACCCCCTATAATTTTTTTAATTCGTCTATTAGACGTACGCATCTCGCGACAAAGCGAGATTAACTAGGGATTCGCATTATTAAAAGTGAAATATTAAAAATCGATATATCTGTGGTCTCTTTCGAGAGCAGTTCCCTTCTCTCTCCGCCCTTTTAAATCTCCTAGAACATTTGTTTCTGTTTATAACACTCCTCTCCCCTCCCACCAAACCACCCACCACCCCTCAATTCTTGTATTATAGCGTCGCGTCGATGTTACTCGCAGATATTATATGTTATACATATTGAAAAAAAAAAAAAAACACGTGTTTTCTGTTAAATTTGTTATATATATTTCGGATAAGAGACAACAATCTAGAACCAGCTACCACTATCCCCCACCCTATCCCCCGGACAATTAACCAACCCTTTTTCACCACCGAACCGTAAAGAAGTCTTTTTCGAGAAGGTTTTTTCATATGGACGAACGTATATATTCAAATTATTTTTCCCGGTGTAAAGTTGCGAAGAGATGTTCTCGTGGTTTGAATGATAATATATTATATAAGATTAAATATTACAAAAAAAAAATAATAAAAATAGTTAACACAACGGGTATAATTATTTATTCACGAAGTCGATCCGTTTGTTTCGTCAGATCGGTTCATTTTCGTTTTTCTTTTTCCTTTTTTATTTTTTCTTATTTTGTTTTTTGTTTTTTTTTTTTTGTTTTTTGTTTTTTAATTATTTTTTCGATTTCTAAAAACACTCGTCGTCATTTGCAGTTAGACGATAAACGACGAATTTTCCTCTTCATATCAAGTACGAGAGCACGTAGCAAGATCGTAGAATAAAGTCGATTAAAATGAAAATAACGCATGATTATTATATACGAAACGAAATGATCTAAGACTATTTGAAAAAAAAGTAATCGATGACGATGTACCCTGCGCGTGACTACTGGCCTAATCGTAATCATTAATTAGAAATTACATATTCTAACCTTTTGTCTTTCTTTTATTTTGTGATATTTCTTTTTTTTTTTATCAAAATACTTTGATATTAATCTCATCCGATTTTTTTATTAATTTTTATTAACAATTATGTAATTCCTTTCCTTTTTTAACGTATCAACTTTTATTTCAATATCCACGCGAATCTAAGAAATTATTTTACTTACTTAACTGAAATCGTTTAAAGATCATGAGTAAATAAATTGTGTAAAAAAATACAAATGAAATTATATTGATTGTATCACGTATATCAAGTAAAATCATTTTGTTCGCTTTATGGTCATCTATTTTTATCCAAAGTGAAATGGCAGTATTATATTTGATCCCGTTTATGCAAATGTTACGTTTAAATTTAGAATACCAAGAATGAGACATTATATTATCTTAATAACTTCAACCAATCGATGTAGAATTAAATGTAATATGTGCATACACAAGGATCAAAAAATATGTTTGATAAATATAATGGGAAAAAAATGTGGACGAAAAAAGCGAGTTCAACTACAATTCAAATAAAGAAAGGAAAAAAAAACAGAAATTACCGTATTATCCGATCGAAACGAGAGATGAAGAATATTTACGGAGAAAAAAATATTTATGATTTAACGAGATGTAATTTTTAGGACCCTTTACCGTATGAGAATGAAAGATCAATTTACAACGTATATAGTATATTAAGTTGCCTTGTAAAAATGTACCGACTTCACCTAAGAAATTAAATGTGTTACTAAAAGAAATCACGCACGACTCTTTTCAAATAATTTTTTTTATTAATTATCCTTTTTTTTTAACTCGCAAAAGGCAACGCAGGATAGAGATACGATTTAAAAAAAAATAAAAAAGAAAGATAATGTATTGTAAGTACCGAAAGATTATAATTTAAAACTATATAGTTTCTTTATATAAGACTGAAATTGTTTGTACATGCTTAATAATCATAGTTAGATGTATATGTACGAAAATTTATACATATAAAAAAGATAATGTATTTACAGGATATGCATATATATATAAATATAAACACACATACACACATACGCATACACTTACATAACACATACCCATATATATATATATATATATGGCATATAAGGATATATATATATATATGTATATATGTGCTTTAAATTACAGATAAACTTATATCACACTGTAAATAGAAAACTTACAAAATCCTCAATTTCTAAGTCCTAATAAATAGAATTAAGTCTTTGTCTCATAAAGTCATCTTTAAAGAATAAATTGATGAAAGAATGGCTCATAAACAATGAGAATTTTAATTAATAACACGGGTGGATTTTACCAATTTCCTAATTTGTTTCGGGCTCGTAAATAATATAACCCTTAATAGAACCTCTACGTTATCTTTACTTTCTAATTTATTATCTTTTATACAAATTTTTGTAATTATTTTCTTTTTTAAATATTCGATTGAATTTTCATTTTTATATGGTGATAATTTTATTTATTAAATTTGTAAATATTATATTTGTCAAGAACGAATTTGTTTTATAAATTATTAACTGATGTAATTTATCTGTATAATAATTAATCGATAAAAAAAAACTTAATTCTATAGTTTAAATTAAATATATCTAAATACAAATAAGTTTACTGATCGAAAAAAATAACAGGAATCTACTATATTGACTGATTAAAACAGGAATCTTCCTTGTCAGCAAAACTTAAATACAAAATCATTATATAAGACCACAGAAAAATTGGCATAGAACCTCAACAGCAGACAAAAATGAATAAGTGCTTTTAATTGCTCACTAATTCCTCAATCAAAATCCATAATGGCTTGCTTTATTAATTAATTATTTAATTATTTATTAATAATTGAAAAAAACAAAAACGTTTTTTCTCATTTCTATGCAAAGCAATTAAGTTTTCTATTGTTTTTTGTTTTCAATCAATTGCTGACTTTTTGTTTGTCCGGCTCCTCAACTTTATTTTATCAAATATTTTCTATTTATCGTTAATTAGTTGAAAATAATTATTACACTTTGAATAATTATGAAATGGCGACGTCATGAGTGGGAGATATGTTATACGCATGCGCAACCACAAATTCAAAGCTCAAGCGCACTTTGAAAAAAATGAAAGTAAAGTTGGTATACCTGCAGGAGATATATTTAAAGTTGATTTCCAAAGTATAGCACAGTGAAAAGAAATAGGTTAATCGTTCATAATGTATAAACAATAGGTAAATATTTTGTAAATTATAATTTTTCTTCTAAATATATTTTGATTTTGATTGAGGAATTAGTGGGCATTTTTTTCTTCTGTTGCGAACTTCATTGCTTTGCTTAGAAATAAGAAAAAACGTTTTTGTATTTTCAATTATTAATAACTAATTAAATAATTAATTAAGCAATTATGTATTTTGATTGAGAAATTTGTGAGCAATTAAGAGTACTTATTCATTTTTTTCTGCTGTTGAAGTTTTATGCCAACTTTTCTGTCGTGATTTTTACGACAGCACTTATCGACTGAGATCCAAACAATAGGATATTTTTTTTTGCTTATCGACCGAAATTCAAATATTTGGATTTTTTTAAACCAGCGCTTACCAATTGAATTAATGTATTTCTTGAGGCGTGTCATTGATTGTGTTAGGAGATCTTCATATAATTGCAACATTTAAAAATAACAATCTTCTAAAATGGATCATGAAGATGAAAATGAGGGGTTCTGCTTGAACAATTTATCAGATTGCTCGGTTATTTCTTCAGAAACTGATTACAGTGATAGTAATGAAGATAGTGATAGTAATGAAGACGGTGATATAATTTCAAATCAGTTCTGCCAAGAAACACTAACATCACAGAATAATGACACTAATGATGAAACTGAAAAATGGTTAACACACGACAAAAAATGTACTATAGAGCCTTTCAAGGGTATCTGGGGCTTGAAAATAACGCCAAAATCTAAGGAAAACATCAAAGATGTTGTAGATTTATTTCTCGGGGATGATTTTTTTAAACATATGTTGAAAGAATCAAATAGATACCACTATGAAATAGTAAATAAATATAAAAAGTCACCAAAGGCAAAGGTGTGGAAAGACATTACACTACCAGAGATGAAGAAATTTGTAGGTCTAATCGTTTTGATGGGACAAGTAAAAAAGAATTGCGTCTATGATTATTGGTCTACTGATATCAGTATTGAAACTCCATTTTTTTCTAAAATAATAAGTAAAAATAGATTTCAACAGATAATGCAAAGCTGGCATTTTTGCAACAATGAAGACATTTCCCCAAACTGTACAAACAAACTTGTCAAAGTTCAGCCGGTTATCGATCATCTAAAAAAGAGATTTAATGACGTTTACCAGCCTTACCAACAACTATTATTGTATGAAAGTATTATTCCTTGTCGGGGCAATATTTCACTTAAAATATACAACCCTAAAAAACTCAGTAAACGTGGTATACTGGTAAGAGAGCTTTGCGAAGCTTACACTGGATATATTTGTAATTTTGAAATGTATGCAGACCGAACAAAAATGATAGAAAAAGACACCATCTCAACAATTATCGAGCCTTACAAGAATATATGGCATCATGTTTATTATGACAACTATCGTGATAGCATAAACACGGCAGAAAATCTTCTGAACGATAAAGTGCGAATATGTGGAATTATTAGAAAAGATAGAGATCTTCCTAAATGCTTCAAAAAAGTACAAGTTTCACCCGGTAAAACCATATTTCGTAGACAAAACAATGTTCTATTACAAATATGGAATAATGGGAGAAAAAAAGTAAATATAATTTCAACCATACATTCATCACAACTAATACAATATAACAGAAAAGGTAGAAAATTAACAATAACGGTTAAAAGACCTAAATCAATATTAGACTTCAACAAATACATGAAAGCGATAGATCGTGCAAGTAATTATTGGTCTTATTACTCCATTGTGAGAAACTCAAGAAAGTGGTCAAATCGAGTTGTACTATTTCTGATCAATTGCGCACTGTTTAACGCGTATAAAATATTTACTACATTGATGACCACAAATATATCGTATATAAAATTCTTGCACAAAGTATCACTATTATGGATAGCAGATTTACCATTATCAAATTTGGAAACCAACGAAGCTGAGAATTTATTTGGCAAGTCAAACATTTTTGAGCCCACAATAAGGACACCTAAATTTGACAGCAACGACAGATTTTCAGATATAAAAAACCACAAACTTAGAAAAATTGTATCTCGAACTGGAAATAAGAATCCTCAAAGAAATTGCAAAGTATGTGCATCTAATGGAAAAAGAAGCAGAACTTGTTTTGCCTGTACATTTTGTAATGTACCATTACACAAGGGTGATTGTTTCTTACACTACCACACTTTAGAAAAATATTAAAAGAATTTATTAATTCGTTATATTTAAGAGTTTAAATATAAATAATTGTAATTTTATAAATAAATGTGTATTTTTTTTAATTTGTAGTGATTTATAATTAAGCATATACATTCTTGCACGACAACCCAACAGATCTAGTAGGCAAAGTGTAAAGTAAAATGACAATCATTAAAATGACGCAAATAATAAAAAAGGCTTATTCTAATTCCAATTATTATTATATAATTTAAAATTATAGTCATATTATTATAGATTGCAATAAATTACTATAGGAATTATTATTTTTTAATATGTTAATTAAATGGTATTAATTAGATAATAAAACATGACTGATGTAATAATAGATAATAAACTAGATCTAATGAAACATATATTGTACCTGTTATCTCCTTTAATGTTTATACATATTCCAAAAAATATTTGAAGAAGAGATTATTTGAATTTTGTCGCCATCTTCAATATCAGTAGTAATGGCGTGAACTGTGCTTTTTGACGAATAAAATCGTATGGTAACGTAGTATCAGTTGATATTTGCCCAACTTCAGAACGGTGGAAGCGTCACGATTATTGCAAGCTAATTGTCATGGCTTCAGAACGTTATAGTTTTTCGTTAACTACATTTAGGTAAGTATTTTATTATAATAATCTATTAATTATTAAATAATATTTAAAAAAACAATATATATATTTAAGCAACACGTACATACATCATTTTTAAATTAAATTTTATAAAGTTAACCTATAATCAACTGTCCTTTATTTATAAAACGCATTGTCATAGTGGTTTAATATAATATAGTAGATTATTAATAATATTTTTAATTTTATTATTAAAATCTGACATCTATACTATTATAAACTTTTGAAATGAATTTTTGTTTAATACAGCCCTTCTGGGAAATTAGTTCAAATAGAATATGCCTTAGCCGCAGTAGCTGCAGGTGCTCCAAGTGTTGGCATTAAGGCATCAAATGGAGTTGTACTTGCAACCGAAAATAAACATAAATCAATACTTTACGATGAACATAGTGTCAATAAAGTTGAAATGATTACAAAACATATCGGTATGGTTTATAGTGGTATGGGACCTGACTACAGGTTACTTGTCAAACAAGCCCGTAAAATGGCTCAACAGTATCTACTGGTTTATCAGGAACCTATTCCCACTGCACAATTAGTTCAACGAGTAGCTATGCTTATGCAGGAGTATACACAATCTGGGTATAAATTGATAATACTTTATAATATTAGGTCATTAACCCGTTGCCGCACACTTTTAATTTGACGATCGTGTTCAGAAACACACTTTTTTTTTATTTCCGAGCGATAGGGCATGCGAAAACGCATAAAAATACAATTGATATGCTGTCTGGCATGCTGTACCTTTTTTTTAATGTATTATTCAATAATTAACAAGTGTATGCGTTAGTACACTTCGTACTAACGCTATACTCTTTTTATTAATTAAAATGTGCACGACGGCTATAGCCGTCATTTGCGGCAACGGATTAAGTATAAAACTTCTGATTATTCCAATTAATTTTAGTTAGAAATCGGTATTTCATACTTAATGAGTTAATAATAAATTAATCTTGATCATGTGAATACTATTTAATAATATCTTATTACAGCGGTGTCAGACCATTTGGAGTATCTTTATTAATCTGCGGTTGGGATAATGGCAAGCCTTATCTATTTCAATGTGATCCATCTGGTGCATATTTTGCATGGAAAGCAACTGCCATGGGAAAAAATTTTATCAATGGCAAAACATTCCTCGAGAAAAGATATAGCGAAGATTTAGAATTGGATGATGCTGTCCATACTGCCATTCTTACATTGAAAGAAGGATTTGAAGGTCAAATGACTGCAGATAATATTGAAGTTGGGATTTGCGATGCTAATGGATTTAGAAGATTGGATCCTTCTAATGTTAAGGATTATCTTGCTAGCATCCCTTAATTTTAAATTAATTTCATTATTGTAATATGATTGCGGAATTTATATATATATATATATTATTAAAAAAAAACTAAGTTCTTATACAATAAAATGTACTTTCAAACTATGCCGATTAACAATTTAGTATTTTCCAATTATCTAAAATTAATACGTTTAAAAATGTAAATAAATTTTGTCATTTAACTATATTTAAAGAAAAAATTTAATGAATTTCTTACAAATATACTGTTGCAAACAAAAAAGAATAGTATCGAAATTATTTGTTGCTACATTTTGTAAGTTAACAATGTGTGATGTCATTTAGAATTTTTTAGGAATCCATATATAATATTAACAAATTTTTAAGCTAACAGTCAAGAGAATTAAAAGCTGCTAACCAATAATAACAATCTTACGAAGTATAATGAAATTTCGCGAAAATCAGGTTTGTACAGCCTAGCAAGTTTTTGATTGGTTGGTGAGAAGGCAGCCATGTTTAATATTTAACTGCACATGCTTGTAATTATAGACAAACGTATATATATATATATATATCTGCTGCTGCGGTCAAACCACGAAGCCTATATAGTGCGTCAAACGTAAAATACTTTTTGGCGTGAAAAATGGCGGCAGAGATTGACGGTGTTTTTACTGAAAATTTGAAAAATGAAATACTTAAAAGTAAAGTTTTGGTTGTTGGTGCAGGAGGAATCGGTTGTGAGATTTTAAAAAATCTTGTAATGTCCGGTTTCAGCGATATTGAAATCGTAAGTCTATCAATATTCATTGAAACTTAACCTCGCTTCTTGAATTGATATTTTATAAAGATTGTTTATTTTTCTTTTTAAATGTTTTTTTAAATTTTTTTCGATGTATATTAAACTATTTTTTACTATATTGGACTGTTTTACAGGTTGATATGGATATTATCGAAGTAAGTAACTTAAACAGACAATTTTTATTTCAAAAAAAACATGTGGGAAGATCTAAAGCTGAAGTCGCTAAGGAAACAGCTTTAACTTTCAATCCTAATGTTAAAATACTTCATTATCATGATAGTATTACGTCGTAAGTATTACATATTATTATACCATACACACACGGACGTAAATTAAATTTAAATAAATATCATAAATATATTTATATAGGCCAGACTATGGATTATTATTCTTCAAAAAATTCTCATTAGTTATGAATGCTCTCGATAATAGAGCTGCAAGAAATCATGTCAACCGTATGTGCTTAGCGGTTAATGTGCCATTAATTGAATCTGGAACGGCAGGTTACGAAGGACAAGTAGAACTGATTAAGAAAAATCTCAGTCAATGTTATGAATGTACTCCTAAAGCAGCGCAAAAAACCTATCCAGGATGTACAATACGTAATACACCCAGTGAAACAATTCACTGTATCATATGGGCAAAGCATCTTTTTAAGTAGGTATCAATAATTGCTAAATATATAAGCAAAATATAATAAAGCGGAATAATATATATTTTATATTAATTAATAATACTTATTTATATAGTCAGTTATTTGGCGAAGTAGATCCTGATCAAGATGTTTCACCCGATGTAGCAGATCCTGAAGCATTTGGTAAATATTTCACATTTTAATAACTTTAATATCTTAACAATTGTATAATTTAATTTATTATTTTAGATTTATCTGTACAACCCAATTTAAAGCAATTATTTGAGAAAAAAAATTTTAGTCGAAAATCAACAAGAGAATGGGCAAAGACGTGTAATTACGATCCCGAAAAATTGTTTACCAAATTTTTTAATGAAGATATTAAATACCTACTCAGTATGGACAATTTATGGAAAAAAAGAAGACCTCCAACACCTTTAGATTGGTCTAATTTACCTGATGGAGGTTAGTACGATATATTAAATTAATTATTTCATTACTTCATATGATTTGGAATTAAATTTTTATTTCTGCAGTACCTGGATCTAGTAAAGAAATATCAGAACCTGGATTAAAAGATCAACAACGTTGGAGTATTGCTAAATGTGGAAGTGTTTTTGCCCAATCTATAATTAATTTAAGAAAAAAATTGAAAACTGAATCAACGCTAGACAATCATCTTGAATGGGATAAAGATTATCCTCTTATATGGGATAAAGATGATCAAGATGCTATGGATTTTGTTGCTTCGTGTGCTAATATTCGAGCATATATTTTTGGAATACCACAGAAGACAAGATTCGAAATTAAATGTAAGTTATAAGAAAATTGATTTGAAGTATTACGATATAATATCAAACGTTGTATAGCGTGTAAGATAATACAATTTTATAATTACTTATTATTTTTTTATTCATTTATAGCAATGGCAGGAAATATAATTCCAGCAATAGCAACTTCAAATGCAATCATTGCTGGAGTAGTTGTTTTACATGCATTCTTTATTCTTGAAGACAAATTAAAAGAATGTAGATCAGTATACTTGCGTTTAAAAATGAATCATAAAAATCAATTGTTAGTACCAGAAAAATATTTAAATCCACCGAATCCTAAATGTTATGTGTGCGCACCAGTGCCACATGTAATATTAATTACAGATACATACAGAATGACTATTCAACAACTCGAGGAGTTAGTATTAAAGGACAGACTTAATATGATTGGCCCAGATGTTATGATAGACGGTCAAGGTGTAATTGTTATTAGTAGCGAAGAAGGAGAAACTAAAGAGAACAATGATAAAACTCTTAAACAAATAGGATTAAAAGATGGTACAATTTTAAAAGTCGATGATTTTCTTCAAAATTATGTATTAAAAATCACTATAGTTCATAAAAAGAAATTATGTCCGAAGAACAAACCTCCAGATTTTGTAATAGTAGCTAATGAAGAAGATCTTAAGCCGAAAAAAGAAAAAAATGATACTGAAAAACCATCAACATCTAACATCAAAGTAAGATATGTGTATAGTTTTTATTTTTCAAAATACAAAGAATTATATGCGATTTTGATATTATATATTATTATTAGTTATATTTTAATAAATAAACATATTATTTGTAGAAATCGTCCGTTTTGCCAATGGATAATGTTAATACTGATGGAGAAGTAGATATACATAAGAAACGTAAAACTGATGCAAGTAATGATAACAACATATTACCCAAAAAACGAAAAATCGATAATGAAGGTAATGGTAAGGGTAATGGTGAAGGTGATAATGAAGGTGAGGTTGAAGGTGATGATGAAGCTGATGAAGATGATTATGAAGATGATGATGATGAGGAGGATAGTGGTGAAGATATTTCTATCATAGAAGATAAAACAGCTAAGTCTACAGATGACGATTGTATGATTGTAAACGATTAAGTCACCAAGCAACAACTTAAAAACATTATAATTAAAAGTTACTATGAAAATATCTGTTACAAGATAAATGAACATAATCAGAGTAATTGGTAATTATTCATTTTCTTTTTCGTATTTGAATTTAAAGCAATATGGAAGTTAAGTTTGATTAAGTGTGTCCCGAATTTAAATACACACAAAAAAGTGTTAGAAGTCAATTGGTAAAATACATATGTGTATATATCCAAAGCAGTTTTGATATTCAAATAAACAACAAAATAAATAAATCAATAAAAAATGGTTTAATTTTCTATAATTTACAAGATTATGACTTAATTTATATTATTGATTTGTATGTATTTTTTTTATTTAAACTGGAAATGAAACAGTTAACTAGTTAACTAATAAGTTTAGTTAATATTGATAATATATAAAATGAAATAAAAAAGAAATTTTCTATTGTTTCTCATCTATTTTTATTTTCGTATTTGCTTCGTAAAATAGAGTAGAGTGATTGATGTATTCATAATTAAATAGAAACAATATATAAAAAATAAATAATTTTGCATATATTTTGTGTGTGCGCAATTACTATTATATATGATTATTAGTATTTTTTGATTTACATAGCAAGTACTTATCCAAATCATAATTATACATTTCAAAATCTATTTTATATCTTTCGTATAATTTTAAAATAGTATTTTGTGTCAAGTTTTGGAAATATTTGCAAGTCTGTTTGTAATCGGTGCATCCTCCTTTACTCTCTTCCAAATTTGGTAAATACATGTTGTTCTTATCTATTCCAAATTTAGATAGAATATAATTAATTTGATCATTAGTATAATGATCCAACTTTAAAATAAAATTATATTGTATAATACAAAGAGCGCAATGAGTGTAATATCGATCCCAATGTACATCGTCATTTTCAGGAGATTCCTGTAACAACCATTCTACAAATTCTTTAAATGTTGGTATTACTTTTAACCTGCGAAACACGTTAATTAATTATTTATTAACGATAATATAATTTTAAGATTTTTGTTATAATAATAATTCTATGTAAACGTACCTTCTACCACGGGTAAATATTTGTTGAAAAAAATTACCAGTTGTTCTATTATAATGAAACAAATTTGGTCTTGTAAAGCGATATATTTTTTGAGTATAAATCCAAGCTTGAGCGGTATATTTTGTATTATCTTCTATCCGATCTCTGTAAACATATTGTATTTTTACATGGACATTTTTTTAAATAAACATATAAAAAGAAATTACCTGTATGAGGAAACAAGCCTTTCAAACGGATGTCTTACGACTAATAATTTAAAAATATTCGAATCGTTTATCGAATGTTCCAATTCGTTTAAGTTACGCGGTATTAATAAATCCATATTTCTAAAAATATCACATAAATCATGATAGTTTATTTAATAACAAAAGCATAATATATAAAGATTCTAATAATTTAAAAATAAATAAACCTATGTTCTTGTATATTAGAGAATAATGCTGTAAAACTAGTAGACGCAATCTTTCTAATCCAACAGTACAATGATTTATGTTTAGAATTGTAGAAGAAATGTTCTCTTTTTAATGGAGTTTTTAAATTATATTTTATACATGTATTTGAAATTTGCTTAAGTAACAGTCCATTTTCCTGTTTAAAAAAATATAACGTTTTATATATACAATTTTTTTTTTTATTTGTATAAAATGCACTTATATGCATAATTAAAATTATACCCTATGTTTGAATGCACTTACCTGCTGATATTTGAATTCAAGTTTATCATACTGTAATATTTTTATATTAGAGTTAACAGATCTTTGATTGTGCGCGAACGTTGTTGAAGATGGATCTGTATCCTCTGTTTTATTGTTTTTTGTAACAAAAATATTTTTTATTAGATGTAGTTTAGTTTTTAATTGTAAAAAAAGTAAACAAGTTGATAAATATAAAATCACGCAAAATATGCATATAAAGAACTGTAACTTCCGTGACATTTTGACGGTGATGGTGCGATCCTCACCGCTTATGACAATTTTCTACTCTCATGATTATATACATCCGTTTTGAACAAAGACACAGTAGGAGTGTCCCAATAGATAATATACTTTATCTTTTACTTTTAGTTTTCCACATTTTCGTCATTTATATTTAACTGGTAGCCTTTTCTATTTAATTAATTTCGTACACATTACGCAATAACGTTAAATAATTAAGTGTGATAAAAAATAATTATAATCACGAACAAAAATATTTGCAAAATCTTTGTATTTATAGATTAATGTACGCAAAGTATCAAAGTATTTCAATATATGAATGATAGGAAAGTTCAAACAATCCCAAAAGTTATTTCTTTTCTTTTTTTTTCCTTTGTATTTACTATGCAAAAGCATTGTGAAATACACAGAGACGTAAATCTACAAGTGCAAATGTAGAACAAACTGTGAACATAAATTGTAATTAAATATATAATTATTAACACACACACACATATACATTTTATTTTAAATTGGATTTAAATTATTATAATATAATTACTGATAAAATATATTTTTAACTTTTCAAGAAAACTATTATGACGGTATTGAATTAATGATTAAAAGAATATGTAATTTTTTGCGCGTTAATATTTTTTGTTGTTTCTATTTAATGTATACATTCCTCCTCTATTGTATAATATATTTAAATTTTATTCCATTGCGCTGTTAATCTATATTTTTATTTATGGCAGTGTCTTCTATTAAGCCAACATATCGACTTATTAAATTGACTATAAATATTATATATATATATATGTATATGTATGCTGTAGAAACATGTAGTATATCAAAGATTTTACATATAAAGATCTTACTTTGCTAAAATAATATAGAGCCTAGATGTAGGTGTGATTTGAATTCCATGTACAATAGAATTAAAAAAGTATAAGCTAAAGTTAATAATAATATTTAATGTAGGTACCCTCAGCATTTTTGGTAGTTTCCTTTCAAAAATCTTTTCTTACATCTGATATTCATATCTATAAAAATATTCATTGTTTTAAAACGATTCTCTAATTTAATGTCAAATAATCGTAATGCTTCCAGAATTTCATATCCATTATATATCTTTGTAGTAATATCGTAATGGATTGTCTGGAAAGACAACATTTTTTTTATATATATATTTTTATTTAAAAATATTTCGGACAACCCAATATATATATGTGCTTATATTCAAACCATT